TGTCAGGTGATGGAACTGTCGGGTCAGGTTGAGGGGGACCATAGGGAGTTGGGAGTAATGGGTGTAGCTGGGGGGAGCCTCCGTTGTATCAATTTCCAGGAGTTAGTCACAGTTTTAACTGTTTAACATTTCCTAGGTGACAATTCAGCTAAGTAAATTGGAACTGTTCTAATTAATATCAGAAAATCTCACTGTCAGTTGTACATAACTGCATGTGGAAATGGATTGCTTTCCAGAGCTGGGCTGTGTGTAAACGTTTTCTGTTATGCGAATAACAAAGAGTGTGCACCAGGAGTTGCACAGGTATGTGTGACTACACAATCATGACAGCTGCCAACCAACCAGAAGCGTTTGTCAATTTTGTATTTCATCACGGATTCTGTTCCATTAATTTTAAGTTCATGCACACCCACAAGTAAAGTCTTTATGGAGGTCTGTTACTGATTCTGTGTGAGCTGACTTAAAGCGTGGCTTCTAGCTGACAAGCAAATTGCCCCATTTTGGCACTTGTACTCTCAATTCTTCATTTGCTGACTAATTCATTTTGGTTGTGCTGTTTTTCTGCTATGCTAAATGTATTGTCAGTACTTCCATGCAGAAGGGGAATAAAGCTAGAGGATGAATTATGTATAAGCCAGCTGAAAAGCAGCATATTGAGATGAATGATGAGCTGGGAACATCTTCTGTTTCTTATCATTGATGTTGGTCTTAAAACTGGAGTAATTCTGAGTTTCAGTAGCTGGAAGTTGGATAATATTAAATTAATTATATCACTTATATTCGCATTCTTACTGGAGGAATCCACCTCTCAACTATAGGTATTATTGTATCCTTGGATGTGTCACAATGTGTGGATGTTTTAATCGATTTATCACATAGTAATGTGCTGATTCAGTCACTGTATTGATTATCAAAGGGTCAATGTCACAGAAAGCATGTTTATTACTGGAAAACCTAACCTTTTGCCTTTTCAGAGCCATTAGGCCTATTTAAGTTTATGTATGACTATGTTCTTTTTCTGTCATATGTTGTTCGCCATCATTTTGTTATAGCTCATTTATTCACACATTCAGGGAATGCCACCATTACAAGACCATTAGAATGTAACATTGTAAAACAGGGCAGTCACTGGAATGGACAAAGGGTTGTTGTAAAATTGTAGTAAACTGAAGAAATTAGGTTCTCTGGGATGTTTTTGACGCACATTGTTTGTTGAAATAATTAAATATCCTCTCAATCATCATAGAATCCTAGAATCCTTACGTTGTGGAAGCAGGCCATTCAGCCCATGTCCACACCAACCCTCTGAAGAGCATCCACCCTGACCAAGACCTCTACCTTATCCCTGTAGCCCTGCATTTGCCATGGGTTAATCCATCTAGCCTGCTCATCCCAGGACACCATGGGCAATTTAGCATGGCCAATCCATTAACCTGCATATCTTTGGACTGTGGGAGGAACCAGAGCAATCAGAGGAAACACATGCAGACATGGGGAGATTGTGCAAACTCCACACAGACAGTCACTGAAGGTTGGAATTGAACCTGGTGCCTGGCACTGTGAGGCAGCAGAGCTAACCATTGAGCCACAGTGCCGTCCTAAAGGACATTAGTGAACCAGATGGGTTGTTATAACAATTAACCGTGGCTCCACAGTTTCTATTAGACTAACGTTTAATACCGGATTTTTATTGAATTCAAATTTCACCATTTGTTATGGTGGGATTCAAACCCATGTGCGCAGAATATTACAAAAACAGAAATTGCTGGAGAAACTCAGCAGGTCTGGCAGCATCTGTGAGGAGAAGCAGAGTCAACATTCTGACTGGAAAAAACAGAACAGTTCAGTTCAAATATTGAGATACTATTTTCTATGGTGGGGCAAATTAAGAACAAGAGAATGCCATCTTAAAATTAGAGGTAGGTTATTCAGGATCAAAATTAGGAAGCACTTTGCCACAGAGTAGTGAGCATTTGGAACAGTTTGTTGGAAACCCTGTGAATTCTGTGTCAAGTATAGCTATGAAATCTGAGTTCATTAGATTTTTGTCAGATAAGGGATTCAACAAACATCAAGCAAAGGCAGTAAAATGGAGGTGAGGTGCAGGTCAGCCTTGTTCTAATTGAATGGTGGAGCGGGCCCAAGGGGCTCAATTTCCTACACCAGTTCCTAATTTACCTATTCTCTATTGTATCTGCGAAGCTGCTTGATTGACTGCTCTGTGCTCAGAGACCTCTTTAAATTGTGATAAATGTAAAATCCAATCTTTGACTCACTCAAACCAGCAGGATGTCACATTATTGTAATGAGACAGATGAGGAAATGCCAAGTGAAATCGACACACTTTCCGCAAAGGAGGGAAAATCTGATGAGTATTCATTATTGTTCTCATAGAGCTGAAGACAAAGCTAGATGGGAAAAGATCAGGGTCCATTTAGTTTGCCTTCTGTCATCCTGGTTGTCACATGATGCAATAATAATTGAGTTATTGACAAGATAGCACTCAATCTCCATCAATTAGTCTACAGCAGACACAAACATCAACCAAGGAAAGGCACATCACTGGTGGAAAGCTTTGGAAACATTGGATAGGGCATGATTTTAACTCCATGCTTGTGAGTGGATTTTAAATAAGTTTACCATTTCACACTGTAGTTTCAAAGTCACATGTTTATCCGAAGCATTTAACACTTACCACTCATAATACCTCAAATTACTGATGAAATGTAAATGACATGTTAGAAAGCAACATTGTTAAATGCTGAGGAGAAGCCTTCATTCTCAGCAATGTTATGTGACATGGGCAAAGGAAGGCAAAATAGAAAGAAAGTGAATAAAGTGTGTAAATAGAAATGATCAACGCTGATAAATCTGGAAAAATATCCTCTTTAAAATCCTTCAAGATCCTTCAATGTCATGTAGACCTGACTGATATTTTCTTTTATTTTATACAGCCACATTTATTGTTATTAATCAATGGCTACATGGAATAAATTTACTTCAGCTGGGAAAGGCACTGATTATTACAGGAGTCTTCGTGGTATTAAAATAATTTGACAACTTAAGCCTGCAGAATGTAGCAACGTCCATAGCTTTCAAGATCACTATGGGGAGACGGGGATTGGGTAGAAACCAGTTGGTAATAAATTATTTGAAATAAATTACTAAAGCACAAAATTGCATATTTTGAATTGACTGAATCAACTGCAGCTACTGTGACGTCATTTTTTAATGTTTATTATCTGTTGTCAGTTTGGTTTTGGTTAACATTATGCTTTAAATCAACATATCCTTTAACTTATTAAAAAACAATGTAGTCATAATCTTTGCAGTGCAGATTGCTAGATTGCAATTTTGATTTCAGTTTTTAGACCTTTAAGCCTGCATTGTTAACCAACTTAGTACATTGCAATATGAAACAGACGCTAATTTCACAATCCATATTTACTGAAGGAAAATACTGTGTTATGAAGCATATTTGATTAAAGGAATGCAAGGGCAGAGACCTATCATCTTTGATACTGCAATATTGTGGTTATTCAGTATGCTAAATCTACAAGTTGTTAGATATTACTGTGATGGCACAGTTGAAATTGAACACCGCTGTTCCCGGAATGGTCACAAATGATTTTATAAATTTGTGCAAAAGTCCTCAATTTACCCTTTTGGGGCCAGGTTGAGATAAAGCATAGACCTGATATCTGTATTTAACAAGAATGACTACTTATTGCAAATAAATAGATTTTAATTGCAGATAAACGATCATGAACCATCAATATACAACTCTACTACTTAAAATGCTAACCTCCCTTCTAAACTCTTCTACACACACAACCACACATACACACACACAAATAAAATTCTAAAATGACTAGAAGTGGTGTTCTCAAGGACAGGGGAGCCCAGAACCAGGGATCACAGTCCAAGAATAGCTCTGAAACAAAAACAGAAATTACTGACAAAACTCAGCAGGTGTGGCAGCGTCTGTGGGAAGAAAGGAGAGTTATGACTTGAGTCTGGTGACTCTTCTTCAGAACTAAGGGTAGCTCTCTCTCCCCTAAGTTCCCCCTGACCCTAGCTGCCGGTTTACCCATCGAATGTGCGTATGTCAATAGGCCTTTTTGCCATCTGAGTTAATCCCAGTATTAGTGCGCTGAGATCATTGAGAGGTCCTTAACATCTCATTAGTTGCAGGGTGGAAAGGTTGACCACACACTAATCACCATCCCCAAAAATTAATTGGCCTTTCTGTTTGCTACTTCTGGGAGCACAAGATTCCAACTGAGGACAGTAGATTTTAAAAATTATGCTGTGATTATGGCAAAATTATTTAGGAATTAGACAGGCAAGCATGGAGATGTAACATAAGATTATTATAGTCTGTCAGTCACTTTCCTTTCACCAAAAGCTGAGTCTGTACATTCATAGCCTTTCTTCTGCACTACGCAATGAATTTCCATTAACTTAGCAACAAAGACAAAACAAGTTATGGAAATAAAACAATAGCTATTGCCTCTTCATAACCATTGAGCAAAACTGACCACTCCCATACGTAAATGAAGTAACCTTAGAATTAAATGTTCCAGAAACTCAGTGGGCTTCAGCAGTAGGCTCATAGCAAATTGGAAGCCTGTTTTAATGCTGAATCCTTTTTTTTAAACACCTGTTGAAGTAAGTGCAAAGGGAATTGGCGCCTGACATAAATTGGGCTGCCAATTTGCAATGAGCTGAATTTGTGCTACTGGCAAAGACCAATTGCACCACAATGTTATTAAAATAAACAAACAAAAGACATTGTTTACTTCTTCAAAATAAATCCTGCTTGTCACATTGTAAATATTGAAGATCAGCATAGCAGATATAAGTATCCAATGTGAAGCAAATGTGATTTTGCGTTACATAACAATATGAAATTTCTGTTGTTTTAAAAAAAAATGTTTATCATACTGATTGTTTTTGAAATTTTCATGTCATTTAAATATTTATTTTCCTGTGAACAGTGAATGGAACTCCAAGCAGTCAGCTGTCAACACCCAAATCCACAAAGTCATCCAGCTCCTCCCCGACTAGCCCCGGCAGCTTGAGAGCTCATAAGGTAAATAAAAACCTGCTAATATACTCAGAAGAGATTGTCTTTTGCTGAAAACCTCTGCACTGTCCAAAGACAAAAACATATGGGAGGATGGTTAAAGAAGGTATCATTTTAAAGAGCTATCAACCATGTATGGTGCAGCTTTTAACATGTGAATGTGTAGACACTGTATTCCACTGCATTTTGGAAGCCTGGGTTTCTTAATTTTCACACTTCTTTTGTCGTAAAAAGTTTTCTTGACAAGGCAAGTCATAATAATGTTCCAAGTCCTCAAAGATCTCTTCTCCATCATTAACTTTGACAAAATCATTGGGCTTGCATGCCATGACTGACTTGTTCTCTAACTACCCACTTGTTTTATATCTTTGACTGTTGATGTGTTTGAGACTAGAAACTGTGGGAAATTGTGACCATGGACCAACATCCTGCTACCACAGTTATTGCGGAGCCTTTCGGCTGAGGGTGCCACAAGAACTGTATCTGCAATCATCCACTATAGCACGTATAACTTCTGTCTAATCATTATCCCCTCTTGTCCCTCTCCCTAATGATTTTAGTCTCTTCTCCACTATCATCAACTAATCCATTCTAGTTTTGGATAAATGAATGTTGGTGAGAGTGTGATCAATTAATTTCGTGAAAGTGTTTTAAATATTTTAAACAAAAGGAAAGCAAACTAGACCTGCAGTTGAGTAATAATGTGACGTTGGTCAAAGTTCTGATTATTATAAGTCAAAAGAAATAAACTTAATTTCAGTTGGAAATTTTACGAAGATGTGTAAATAAGGTCAGAGCAGGGACATCAACTTCATAAAGAGTGTGAAAGAGAGCAGGGACAGTAACCTCGTAAAGAAAAGCCTGGACCTGTATGAGGAGGGCAGCAGCAATGGGAGATGAAAACTGAAGAGAGAAAGCTCCTTTCACCCTACTTTTACTAGTCACAGACGTGTGACATCTTGGGAAAACAGGTATGTGATTTGTGTGCATTCTTCCATTTCTCTTTTGATTGACCAAATCAAAATGAAGAGGTGATATCATAGTTGAAGAGTACGATTAAGGAATTCACTTTTAAAATATTTAACACCTAATTTAGTTGATTGAATAAAAGAGAGATGATTGGACAGGTGATGTGTTGCAGCTGTAATATATGGGAGCTGGTGGACAGCAGCATAATCTATGGTGACCACATCTGCCGCATGTATTGGCCACCCAAGGAACTTTGCATCAAAGTTGATGGGCTAGAGTCTGAGCTGCGGACACTGCAACACGTTTGGAGGCGCGGATGAACCTGGACACTTTCAAAAGAAAATCAAACCCCTTAGATAAATTAGTCAAATTTGGTCCATGGTTGGGGATAGGAGGGCATGACTACAAGTGAGCTAGGTATGGCGATCCAGAATTTAACTTTGGAGGAACCTCAGAAAGTGCATGTGTTTGAGAGGTTTAAGGTTTTTGCTCCCAGTGTGGATGAGGGCTCAAATTGCAGAGAGGGTGAGTAAATTGACCTAGCACCAAGCTCCAGAGCTACATTCAAGTGGATGGAGAAAATGGAAATGTAGTTGTAAAAGGGGTTAGCGTTGTTAGAAGAATATATACTGTTTTCTGCAGCAAAAGCAGAAGATTCTGAAGGCAGTCTTTCTTACTTGGTGCTAAGTTTCAGGATATCTCATTTTGGGCTGGAGAGGAATTTTCTGCAGGAGGGGAAGATCCAGTTGTTGTGGTCCAGGAAGGTGCCAGCAATGTGGGTTGGACTAGGAAAGAAGTTCTGCTGAGGGATTATGAGGAACTAAAGTCTAAATTTAGAAAGCAGAATCACAAAGGTAGTAATCTCTGGATATTATATGCACCACATGCAAATTGTCATAGAGCAAATAAGATTTGAGTGTTAAATGCATGGCTCAAAGATTGGTGAGGAAGAAATGGGATTCGACTCAGTGAGCATTGTCACCAGTACTATGGAGAGGATTATAGTTAAGGATCCTGTAGTGGTAGCAATCACAACATGATGGAATTTCACATTCAGTGGGAGAGCAATTCAGGTCACAAACCAGTGTCCTTGACTTAAAAAAGGGCAATTAGTGAGGTATAAGGAAAGAGTTGAATAATCTGGACTGGGAAAATAAACTAACAGAAAGTCAGTGAATAAGCATTGGCAGACGTTTAAGCTGATATTTCATAAAGCTCAACAAAAAATTATTCCAGTCAAAAAGAATGACTCAATAAGTAGGGCAAACCACCGATGTCTAACAAAATTGATCAAGCAGCGTAATGAATCAAAAACAAAGGCATGTAAAGGAGAAAGTTTATTATGAAAGTAAATTGACAGGAAATATAAAGACAAACAGCAAGAGCTTCTAAGGGGTGTATAAAAAGAAAGAGAGAAACTAAAGTAAGTGTGGGAGCCCTGGAGGATGCAACTGGAGAATTAATAATGGGGACCAGGAAAATGGACGATAATTTAAACATTACTTTACATTAGTCCCTACAGTGGAGACCAAGATAATGTACCCAAATTTGCTGACGATATAAAAATTGGTAAGGGTATGTTGTGATGAAGATCTAAGGAGTGTGCAAGGGGATACAAATGGATTGAGTGAATGGGCAAAAGTTTGGGAGATGAAGTTTAATGTGGGCAAGTGTGAGACCATGTACTTTGGTAGGAAGAATAAAAGGTCAGACTATCATTTAAATGGGGAGAAGCTCCAAAAATGTGCAATATTGTGAGATCAGGGTATTCTTGAGCACGCAGTTGCACCTAGTAATTAAGAAGGCAAATGGAATTTTGGCCTTTATTGCTAGGGTTGGAGTTTAAAAATGGGCAAATTTTGTTACAACAGTACATGTTGGTGAGGCCTCATCTGGAATACTGTGTATAGATTAGGTCCCTATATTTAAGAAAGGATGTACTGGTAGTTCGAAAGAGACTCACCATTTGAACCTGTGATGAAGGGATTGACTTATCGAGAACATCTGAACAGGTTAGGTTTTTATTTATTAGAGTTCAGAAGAATCAGGGGTGATCTTATCGAAACATACAAGTTTCTGATGGGTTTCAACAGGCTAGATGTTGAAAAGTTGTTTGCACTCGTGTGGGACATAGGGGACATAGTTAAAGAATAAGGGGACACTCATTGAAAGCTGAGACACATAGGAGTTTCTTCTCTGCTGGTTGAATTTTCAACCCCTGAGAATTGTGGAGGTTAGATCACTGGAATTATTTAAAGAGGAGGTAACTAGATTCTTGGAATATTTCTGAGATGAAGGCTGCGATAACCTGGCAAGAAAGAGGAGGCCTGCAGGTGATCAACTATAAATTTACTAAATGGTGGAGCAGGTTGAGAGGCCAAATGGCTGTACTTCTGCTCCCATTTCTTACATTCTTATGTTCAGGAGATATGTTAACATTGCATACACTTAAATATTTAACTCTATAATCTCAATATATCCTTTAAATTTTAACAGACCATAAGATATAGGAGCAGAAGCAGGTCATTCAGCCCATCGGGTCTGCTGCACTGTTCAATGAGTTCATTACTGATTTGATAATCCTTAACTCCACTTTCCTTGGTGACACTTGTTTCCCTTACTGATTCAAAATCTATCTATCTCAACCTTGAATATACTTAATGACGCGGCATCCACAACCCTCTGCAGTAAAGAATTTCACAGATTCACTATCCTCAGATGAAATTCCTCCTCATCTATGTTTTAAATTATTATCCTTTTTCTGAGATTATTCCCTCTGATCTGTGACTCTCCCATAAGGGGAAACAACCTTTTAGCATCTAAATTTCAAATTCTCATAGAACCTTGCTTGTTTCAGTCTTTAGACCCATTTTTTTCTGTAGCACATTTTCCTATAGTGATAGCAGATGTATGTATTTCCTGTTCTCTTGTTGCCCCTTCATTATTCAGTAATTTTGGAATGTTGTTCGTGTCTTCTCATGTGAAGACTGATGCAAAATATTTATTAAATTCCAATGCCATTTCCTAGTTCCCTATTATCATTACCCCAGCCTCAGCCTCTAAGGGGCCTAGTTTCACTTTTGCCTGTCTCTTTCTTTGTATATATTTAAATCTTGTATACACAGTTTGCGTACCAAGTCACTGACAAGTTGCACTTCTGCAAATGTAAAACTTTTGATCTTTAAAGAAGTTCTAGCTTCTATAGATAACATTACATTTCCATCATTAACGTCAATCCATTTTAATTCTGAAAATAAATTGTAATTTTAATAGTTAGCACGTTATTGGGCTGAAATTGTTCTGTGGGGAAAAAAACACAATTACAAATAACAAGTGGGTAGGGTGTAAGATTCAGGAGTTCTCACCCTGTGATTGGTGGACTGGACAGGGGAAGGAGTTTTGTTAAAATACCATGGAGTCAGTTTTGTGCTTTACTGGCTGGGTCAAATAAAGGAAAATGTGGTGTGGAAGATCACGAATAGGGAACAAAAATCATTTGATATTAGCTACCATTACAGTGAATGGGTGGAAAATTTAGAGGATCATTTATTTGTGAGAACTTCTTCCATCCAGGTTTCCCTTCCTGCAGTGCTCTGTGGCAACGCTTAATGATCAGTCAGTAAAGACCAAAGATTTTTTAGTTACTGCATTACAAGATGCATGAAAACATAGGCTGGATAAATTGTTCTTCATATGATTGAAACTGGAAAAACTAGTAGGATAATTATTGAATAAACAACAAAGATTTCTTGATATTTGTATTTTGCAAATTGTATATGGACAAAAGGATACAGAAGAACACCCAAAACAGTTCTTACTTTTCTTGAAAAAAACTTAACAGTGCAGTTTTTTTTTCAATCTTTATTTTCCCATTCTTCATTATATCTTTCTGCAACTAACTTAGTGAACTGGCAACCTTTTCCAAACTTGAGAAATGCTTAAGAGTGGCACAAGATGATTTTCCATCAGTTTTATTGCCCTTCTCTGGACTTGTCGTCTCTTTGACAGCACAATAAAGATTTGGAACTTAACATGTA